TTCCCAGTGTCAGATTGGACCTCAAATTTCAGATTTTGGAGCATTTTCAGATTTGGAGAGCTGAACCTGTACATAGTTTCCTGCCGCCCCCTCGCCCCTTCCCCCCACCCCCACTCATGATAAATTGTTGCCTTCAAAAGTAAGCTAAGATGGGAATAGCCTTCCAAAATTCTTTTAATCCATCCAGGACAGTTTCTTCCCTCTCACTCCCAAATATGCATTGATTTTCCAGTTGCTTTTAGGGAAAGGAAAATTAGATAATTGATTTTTAGAAGGTTAGAAAATCCTGCTCATAGTGTCATAATTTACCTAGAAAGCTAACAACTGAGTATTACTTTAACTTATTTTGGGTAGGAATATGCTTATGTGGTTATGACCTTTAAATTAAGTATAATTTTATTTTCTTCTTTACACTTAGCTGTTTCCTTGGTGTTCTGTAGTGAACATCTTTTATTTTTAATTTCAGAAAAAGAACTTTTATAAATTATTGAAAACTTGTAAAACCCAGGAAAGCCTATGGAAAAATATATAAATCATCGAAAATCTCATTACCTAGGATAATTGCTATTCATATTTTACTGTATTTGCTTCCAGTATTTTCAATGCACATTTAAATATATTTGTAAATCTTATATTTTAAAAAAACTACACTATGTGGAAATAAAAATTCATAAAATTCATATAAATTAGAGTGATTATTCACATCTCAAAAAGATTAACTACGGGGTTTCGTTACTAAGCTCTCCTGTTTTTTTGTTTGTTTGTTTGTTTTTGAGACAGAGTCTCACTGTGTTGCCTGGGCTAGAGTGAGTGCCGTGGCGTCATCCTAGCTCACAGCAACCTCAAACTCCTGGGCTCAAGCAATCCTTCTGCCTCAGCCTCCCGAGTAGCTGGGACTACAGGCATGCACCACCATGCCCGGCTAATTTTTCTATATATTTTTAGTTGTCCAGCTAATTTCTTTCTATTTTTTAGTAGAGACGGGGTCTCGCTCTTGCTCAGGCTGGTCTCGAACTCCTGAGCTCAAAGAATCCACCCGCCTCGGCCTCCCAGAGTGCTAGGGTTACAGGTGTGAGCCTGTGCTCGGCTGTCTCCTGTTATATTTGAAGTGATTCAATTCCTAGAAAATCGCTTTACTTTTTTTTTTCTTTCACAACTTTTAAAAATAGCCTCTTGTGATCTTGAAGCAGGATGTATTACACGTTTGAACCAAGGTCGTTCTATCAGAAATCCATGTTTTTGTGGCATTGTGCTTTGGGCATCCGAGGAATACTCACTGAATGTACTTGTCATCCACTTACGGAAACTGCACTTGACTTTGTGGTTTCATTTCTGGCAAACTATAATGAAATGTTCGTCATGATTTTAGACCCAATAGAGACCTGGTCCATTTGGATGACTAAAGTCCCGAGGGGAACTGAGATAAACATTTGCAGAGCGTCATATTAATGTTGCTTGGTGAAGAAGATGTTGTGAGACTTTTTTTTTTTTGGTACCAGTGCAGTAGATCTCTTGTCTGTCATCTGACTCTCAATTCTCATCAGATGTCTTTATTTGTGTTGTATTTCCTTGTGTTTTATGTGTGATAACCTCTAGATAATCCTGAGCAGAAATGTTCATTTTCTCTTTTTCCTCAAACAAACGTATCAACTACCAGTTCCCTTATCACATCCCTGTCATTTCTTTATAATAATTTTTATTCTTTAGCCCACATTATCTTCTTTCTCCTATTCTAATTAATTACATTGAAAAACATGGAAGCATAGGTGAGAGAGGAATGGTAAAAATAAAATACATAAACCTTTTGTGTCCGTACTTTGTGAAGTACGAATCCATTTTCTTTTCATTCTTTGTGTTGTTAGCTGTCTAATTTGGAGGCACCATGTTTCTTAGCAAGGTGGTTTGGTATATCCTTGGCAAATCTGCTTATTTAATTAATAAAATAATCAGTGATACATACCAGTTATATATTCATTATGATCAAAAAAGTAATAATAAAAGCTAGTGTTTTAAGCTGGACATGGTCACTCATGCCTGTAATCCTGACATTTTGGGAGGCCAAGACGAGAGATTGCTTGAGGCCAGGAGTTAGAGACCAGCCTGAGTAAGAGCAAGACCTACAAAATAAAATACAAAATAAATAGAAAAATTAGCTGGGTGTGGTGGTGTGCACTTGTAGTAGTCCCAGCTACTCGTGAGGCTGAGGCAGGAGGATCACTTGAGTCCAAGAGTTTGAGGTTGCAGTGAGCTGTGATGACACAATTGCACTCTAGCCCAAGTGACAGTGAGACCCTGTTCTCGCCCCCCCCAAAACAAAAAAAAACCACTAGTCTTTTAAAGCTTAGTGCTCTGTTTAAGTCAAACCATTTTCTCTGTACATATTTACAAGCAAAGTAGCTCATGTGTGCTAATCTAATTTCCTTCCTGTATGTATCATCTGACCATACAAATAAACATAGCCCCTTTCTATTTTTTGTTCTCTATTTAAAGTTATTAATAATTGGAATATATTTTGAGTAATTTCTCTGAGTGGCTGAAAACTTTATTTGGAGGGGTTTTTTGCAGAATTTTTTGCATGAGGGCAGGTGGCTTTTTTTTTTTTTTAAAACCATTATCTAACTGCTGACTATAAATCCTGAAGCATCTACATGTTCCGAAACTAAATTGTTAATTCTGATTACTTTCCTTTTAAGAGTCTTTGGAGAATTTTTACAACTTTTCATAACCTTTTCTGGTTGAGAACCAGTGGAATTAAACAGATCTGGATTTGAAATCCTGGCTTTGTGATTTTTGAGTAAACTAATCCGTGTCTCTGTTTCCTTTTCTGTAAAAAGGGAATAGTGGTAGCACCAACTTCATAGGGTTGTTGTGAAGAATAAATAAGATAAAATGTGAAAACTTTTACATGTGCAATGCCCGGCACAAAGCAAACATTTAAATTTTAGCTTTTATTATTATAGACCAGGAGTTGGTAAACTTTTTGTATAAAGGGCCAGATACTAACTATTTTACGCTTTGAAGACCATACAGTCTCTGTCACAATTACTCAACTCTGCCTTTATAGTGTGAGAGCAGCCGTAGACAATATGTGAGCAGATGAGTATGGCTGTGTTCCAATAAATCTATTTATAAAAACAGACCATATTTAGCCCATAGGCTATAGTTTGTTGACCCTATTCTAGATTAATAAAACTAATAAATGAAACAAGGTGTGGAAAATATTAATAATTCAGTATAGCTCTTCTGTGAAATGGATTATCAAGAGAATTTAGGTTGATTAAAACTTCAGTGTACAACCCCAGACATTTCAAAATCTCTGTGTCTGAAACATGTTCTGCTCGGTTAACATATTTTATAATGAAAAATCTCAGCTGCCAGGAACCATCAAAAACAGCATTTCTAGATCCATAAAAACATGTTAGTGGAGAGCACCCTTAAGTATATTTATTCTTTCTTGCCTTCTTAACCATAGTATATAAACAATAATCTAACCATTAAAAAATTTTTTTTATTCTATCTTATGGTTTTGTGGGTCAGGAATTTAGGCAGGGCTCATTTCGGTGATGGTTTTGCTCTACATGGTGCCAACTGTGATTCTCTCCCCCACCCTCCCCTCACCCACCTAGCAGATGGGATGCTCTGGACAGTCTAAAATGGCTTATTCACATTTGGTGCCTTGGCAGGGGCAGGTGGAGGACTAAGCCGGGACTATTGACTAGAGCTTCTACACATGGCCTCTCCAGCATGCTAGCTTTCTTTTCTTTAAAGATACGACATTGTCATTATGAATCTCAGTTCCTATAATGCTTTGATCTTGTCAGCCTTTACCGGGGTATGTGGGACTGTTGCTTTTACTCCCTGGACCATTGTGCTTTGAGTTTGTGCTTTTATTTTTTGGCTTAATAAGCTGATTCTCAGCTGCAGTCTGGAGCAGTGCATTTGCTGCATAGATGACATCTTACCATATTGGGCATTTAATTTGCTAGGTGTATATGTGCCTTCCTGGGCACAACTAAGCACTGTTTAAGAAACTTAAGTATGCCTTAAAGAAGGAAATCCTGTAATGTGTGACAACATGGATGAACCTGGAGGACATTATGCTAAGTGAAGTAAACTAGTCACAAAAGGACAAATACTGTATGATTTCACTTATATGAGGTTTCTAAAAGAGTCATAGAAGCAGAGAGTAGAATGGTGGTCATCAGGGACTAAGGGGAGAGGGAAAAGGGGCATTGCTATTCAACAGGTATAAAGTTTCAGTTATGCAAGATGAATAAGTTCTTCTGTACAACATTGTACCTATGGTTAAAAATACTGTATTGTACACCTAAAATTTTGTTCAAAGGATACATCTCATGTTAAATGTTCTTACTATAATTTCTTTAAGGAAATGACTTAGGAGCTAATCGTTTTTTAAAAAGGAAGTAAAATATCAGAACTTAGTATTTTTTCTTCAGTTTATATACTTGCTTATTTCCCCCTTCCCATATTCTTGATAAGACAGCTGATGTCAAGAGGGCAGAGTATGGGAACAGGTTCAGTGGTGACTCCAGTTGGAAGAGGGGCTGGTAGACTTGAAGCTCTGCTTGCATAATAAGTACCTTCTTTTTGCTTGAATTACATGTTTATCTGGAATGACTTATGGTGTGGTGGCTAAAGCTCCCCAAGCTATTCTTTGTGCAGGATTGAGGGGTCATGTGGACCCACCCTACTTCCCTCGTTACCACCACTCTTTGGAGTCTCTAGAATGGCCTTTCACTTTACATGTATCTTCTTGCTATTTCTTTCCTATCAGCCTATAATTAAGGCTCTAAGATGGTATTTTTTAGCCTGGATATCTTTGTATTATATTTATGTGTATATGTTTAAAGTTCTCTAACCCTTTACTGTACATGGAGTAATAGTACCCACCTCAGAGTGTTGTGAGAATGCTTAAAGTACTCAGAAAATGTCAGCTATTACCGTTATTGGATAACCATCTTCCAAACTTCCTTTTTTAGAAACTGATTCAGCAGTACAGAAAGAACTTAGGAACCAGACACCTGCTCCATCTGCAGCTCAAACTTCCGCTCCCTCTAAGTACCACCGAACTCGATCTGGCGGAGCCAGGGATGAACGATATCGATCAGGTGAGAAGGAACTGCAAAAGGACCAGCCGAATAGTTTTTACTGACTGTAGTATGAACTGTGTATCCTGAGAGCTTCTGATATTTGTTTTGGTTTTTTCCCTTGAGGCACCAACATGTCTATATTAATTCATTCATCAATCGTTTATTTTATGTGATGAAATATTGAGTATCTACTTTGTGTCAGGTGTAGTGGAAACTCAACATTTGCTGGAGATACAGCAGCAAATAAGACCCTTTCTGCCCTCAAGGAATTCAACAGTCTAAGCAGGGGAGCTAGACAAGCACAAAGGCAATGAGAATAAATAAGTAAACAAGAAAATGAAGGGTTAGGTCATGTGGGCTGGTACTGGGAGAGCTCAGTGGACTCTCTTGGAAGAGCCAGGTGCTTTTGTGTTTGCCAGGGCTGTTGAGTAACTAATCTCATAACTGATGGAGTGAGAACAAAAACTCATGATGAGATTTCAAATTAGTAAACTCTTAAACTTTATTTATCCTAACCCAAAAAGTACCCATAGGAAGGGAAAAGGCAAGGTGTGCTTGTCTGGCAGTAGGGGTATACTCCTGCTCATATTGTGCCCAGGACCACCTGGCCAGAAGTACTAGATGTGCCACTGAGGAGCAGAGAAACAAATTGTAGACCCCCAGTAGATGTGTGGCATAGGGAGCCCTTCCAGTGCCGTCCACTGCACCAACGGTGGTCTCTGTAGCACATTTTTTTTTTTTTTTTTTTTTTTTTTGAGTCTCACTCTGTGGCCCGGGCTAGAGTGCCATGGTATCAGCCTAGC